ATAGTTGCAGAAGCTCATCATTAGAAAGCAAAACACACTGAAGCTGGGGTGTGGGCACACAGAACCAGCAAAAGGTATTCCAGGGCATCCGGGCAGAGCAACATCAATTTATGCCTCACATATATCTCCTGGAATTCGAAAGTATTTAGGGAGGAGAGATACACTGAGTATCAGTTGACTATCAATTAATTATCAATTAACAATAGAATTATTGGCAGACAGGAAAGCCTTATCTCTGATGCTAAGGGAACACACCCTTTGAAAAAGCACTGCATATTAATCAAATGGTATTTGCTCCAATGGACTTAGTTAATATACTTTTAGTAAAAATCAAATCAGGGTCCATAGACTTTTTAAAAGACAGAGGCATCTTTGTTGGAATTTTAGCTACCAGATGCAGGTATGTTCCATGGTATGTGTGCATGTGGTTGGTGGTGGTGGCAGCAGGGAGGGAGGGTATCAACACTTGCCATTTTCCTCTGAATCTTCTAACGCTTGGAAATTTGTCATAGAAGATTTTCTCATCTGCAGTTCAAACACTTTTCAGCAGGAATTTAGCTGAAGTTGAAATCACCATCTGGCATCTCATATTGAACCAGGTTCTTTGTGTGCCAAGAGCTTCTTCTTTTGGCAATGACGTTGACTGTGATCTTTCAAAAATGTTTCTTGGGTTGGCATTCTTGACTGAACAGAACAAGCAGCCTGTCTTGGAATTTAGGAAGAGATGTGCTGAGCAAGTTTTTGCCCCAGGAATAAAAGTGCGAGGTGAAAAGTTGAAGATTTGAGGTTTTGAAACTCCAGAATTCACATGTTTTATTGTCGTTGACCTAAAATCAGCTAGGGAAAAAAATTTCTGTGAAACGATTAGTAGAAGCAAAATGTTGCACAAGGAATATTCCATTTGAATCAATAAATCCTATTTAAGCAATTTCCAGGTGCAAAGTTATATCCTACCTGCTGTAGGAACACAAGGATGACTAAAAGGCAGTGTTTGCTCCTAAGTGCTTCAGCATCCACTGGCTGGAGGAGGCAGCGGATGACAGTGCGTGATTAGGTGGATACAAGGCACACTATACCAAGAAGCATAGCTGACACCGTCAGCCTCCTCCCAGGTACTCTGGGATTTCTCTAACCATTTCTGTGTGTTCCTCCATCCACTTTGGAGTGCTTTTGCTGCCACTGGCCTGCACCTGTGACTCTGTTTTGGTGGCTGCCCTTGGGCTGCTGTGTACAAATGCATGCAGAGAGCAAGAAGTGCTTGGGAACTGAATCCCTAGCTAGTGACTGCTCAGTATGGGAGAAAGCAAGCTCAGCTCCCTTGTCTTAGAGAAGGACATCAATTAATGTCCAGAGTTCCCCTATGGAATTGAGCTGGGCTACTCGCCTTGGGACTTTCACCAAATTTCTCACCCTTGCTTGATCTCTTTCTCTTCTCTGTCTTACCTCCCTCATTCACTTGCCAGACTCTTTGGGGAGCATTTCCTTAACAAAACCCTTCCCTACAAATCCTCCTCTCATGAACTGCTTCTGGGAACCCAATAAGGGGCATAATAGGAATCCGAACAAAATGCTATGGGAGCACAGAAAGGAGGGATTAATTCTGCCTGGAGAACAAGGAAGTTTCCGTAAACGGAGAGAGCATTTGAGCAAGGCCTTGAAACATAATTTGGAATTTGCCAGACAGATAGAATGAAGAAATGTCATGATAAATCTGGGGGAAATACATTAATGAAGGAATAATCAAAGTAATGATGGGGAGTGATAGGAGATGAGGTTGCTAGAGTTGGTTGGGATGAACTGAGGAAGAGTCTTCAATGCCATTAAAGAGTTTGACTTTTAAAGTCTTAAAAAATGGCAATAGTGAGCCATTGTAGGTTTTTGGGCAGGGGAGAAATATGATAAATCTTTTGGGAAAACAGTTGAGCAAAAATACAAAAGATGGATTGGAGAATAAGAGACAAATAGTGGAAGCCAGTTTGAGGGTCATTGCAATATTCTAAGAGGGGATGAAGGCCTGACTTAGAGTCCTTGACATGAGAATGAAAAGAAAATGACAGCTCTAGAGATTGAACAATTGGACTTGGCAGCTAACTGGACATATGAGGCAATAACGTGAGAAGTCAAAAGTGGCTGAGGTGTTTGTCTGGATCACGGTGGATAATGGTGCCATTAACCAAGAAAGAAGCCAGGAGGAGAAAATCAGGCTGAAGAAAAGTCAATGAGTTCATTTTTGGGAAAAAAAACAAACAAAAAAAAAAACCCAATGGCTCAAATACATTTGAATGGAATCAAAGTAATCTGAGAATGAAGAACAAACAAAAAAGTCAGAATGTTTGGATACTCTTGACGTTCTTGTTCAATTTTAGAACAAAAGCCTGGGCACGGTGGCTCATGCCTGTAATCCCAGCACTTTGGGAGGCTGAGGCAGGAGGATTGCTTGAGCCAGGAGTTTGAGTTCACCCTGAGCAACATAGCGAGACCTCATCTCTATAGGAAAAAAACAAAATTAGCCAGGTGTGGTGGTGCATTGTGGTCCCAGCTACTTGGGAGGCTGAGGTGGGAGGATCCTGTGAGTCCATGAGGTTGAGGCTGCAGTGAGCAGAATTGTGCCACTGCACTCCAGCCTGGGTGACAGAATGAGACGCTGTCTCTTAAAAAAAAAAATTAGAACAAAAAGATACTTTTAAAAATTAGCTTTCTAGACAGGAATCAAAATGACAAAATTAACAACAGAAACTCAGACATCCTTTAGGAATAGGAACACTTAGAATTCTGAATGCAATGCTTCAGTTTCATCACGACTGTACTTTGCTTACTGAAACTAGAGTAAGGAGTCTGTATGGTCTAAAGATTGAATCTGAAATGTTAAGTCTGTATGGCTGTTTGAAGCAATCTTTGAAAGCAGAGCCCTATGACAATAGTGCTGAAATCAAGGAGAAAAAATAGTGCTTTTAGTGTGTACAGACTATTATCTGGGTAATGTAACCAGTTTTTTGTAGAGAGGCTTTGACAGTAGTCATTTCCAAACCTTTAATCATTGCTGTTCATTTGCTTATGGCTATGGCTCTAATTTTTCTTTTTTTCTTTTTGAGACAGTCTTTTTTTTTTTTTTTTTTGAGATAGAGTCTCTGTCACCCAGGCTGGAGAGCAGTGGCACAATCTCAGCTCACCTCAACCTCCACCTCCCAGGTTCAAGTGATTCTCCTGCCTCAGCCTCCTCAGTAGCTGGGATTACAGGCGTGCACCACCATGCCTGGTTAATTTTTGTATTTGTAGTAGAGACAGGGTTTCACCATGTTGGCCAGGCTGGCCTCGAACTCCTGACCTCAAGTGATCTGCCTGCCTTGGCCTCCCAAAGTGCCGAGATTACAGGCATGAGCCACCGCACCCAGCCTGCATTGATTTTTATAAAAATCAATATGCCCATGTGGGAATTGGCATCCCTGCATTGCATTGACATTTTAAGCAGCACACAATTAGAAGAAAAAGCACAAGTCCAAATTGTTAAAAAAAATGTTTTAGTTTGAGGAAAAGTCTACTTCATACAAGACACATTGTTTCAAAAGCCAAATGAATTAGGGCCCCAGAGAGGACTTGCTACTCTGTAACAATGTTACATTTAAATTCTCTTTGAGAACACTTAATACTTAGAGCCTCTACCACTTCCTCCTATCCTAGGCAAGAGGTAGATTTAAGAAGTAAAGCTGTGCATGAAAATAATGGAGGGAGAGAAGATAGGAAAAATAGAAAGCAAGATAAAGAGGTCATTGGTTGTGTTTATTCGTTCAGTCTCTTCCTTCCTTTCTTTCATCCTTCCCCCCATCTCTCCCTTCCTCTGCCACTCCCAGGAATTATTGAATACATACTGTGTGCCAGGGACTGTACTAGAAGCTAGAGATACCACACTAAACAAGTGAGACATACACACTCTCTACCCTCATGGAATATAAGTCTATCATACTTGATTTCAGATTCTATGTGTAAATAAAAGATTATCACTTTTTCTTCACCCTTGTTCTCTCTCTCCCCTTCCTATTATGTATTAAAGCATATTGGGTTCACCCATTTGTTGGGCAAATGTCCTAAACATAACCCAATTAGGCTGCCTTCATTTGAAACCCAACTCTCCCACTTAACAGTTATGTGCCTTTGGTCAAGGACTTAACTTGTTGACTTTCCATCTCTTCCTTTATAAAACATACATAATAATAACACATGCCTCATAGGATGTTGTGAATATTAAAGAGTCAGTTCATTTAGAACTTAGAATGGGCTCTCGGACACAGTGAGTTATCAATTCATTTTAGCCACTACTGTTTCATATTATGCACAGGAATAAAAAGATGAAACAGATTATATTTTCAAGGAGCTTACAATCTTGCAGGTGGAGACAGACAGGTACACAGATAAAGGCAATAAAGCATGGTAAGTGTGGTGGGTGAAATGATGAAGAATGGAGACTCTAGTCAGGGGGCCACAGAGAAGGGAGTGGTGAATTCTTTTGGTCAACTCTTTTGAGACGGATGTAATATCAACCCAAAGTAGTTTCTTATTTCCCTGACCCTTTGGTAAATGATCCTTCCCTATTAAATGCCTGTTTTGACTGCTTTATTTGCCCATAGTTGTTCCACTGTAAATTAATTACGTAAGCACAAATGAAGGCTTTTCACTAATGGACATTGTGGTCCCTCTTTATTTACACTCTGCAAAAAGGACCTTCCCAAAATTGGTGAAATAAGGTTACATTTACCTGATTCTTATGCTCAGCGCTACATTTCTTACAGAAAACAGAGTTGCTCCTACAAAGGGAATATAGGTCTTTTCTTACCCCAGAAGGTAGTCAAGGTAGTCTTATTCCTTTTGCCAACGACTGGCTAAGTCATGAACATACAATTTCATTGTGGCTAATGGGACCCAAAAGGAAGTAAGCTGGGGTTCTGAGAAGGATTTTCTCAAAACTGCAGGAGTAGTTTTGTGATGAGCCACGTGATTAACTGTGATGAGTTTTGGGATGAGGCCGTGGAATAAGTGCTGGGCACAGTGCTTGAACCAGACTGTGGAAATACTAATTTATTTTACTTTTACTATTTATTTATTTATTTATTATTTTTTATTTATTTTAGAGACTGGGTCTTACTCTGTTGCCCAGACTGCAGTGCAGTGGCCCTATCACAGCTCACTGCAGCCTGGAATCCTAGGCTCCAGCCGTCTTCTCACCTCCGTCTCCCAAAGTGCTGGAATTATGGGCATGAACCAATACTCCTGGCTAATTTTTTAAATTAAAAACAAAAAACAAAACAATATGAGACTAATGCAGGAAACACTGCTACCCTTCTCTGGATATCACTGGTCTACCCATGATGCCCGGCACTGCTGCAGCCATCTTGTAACTATGAAGGGAGATATTGCTGCCATCTTAAGGATGGTAAAGTAGAAAGATGGAAGTAAAGTGCATCCCTGAAGGCATCTTTGAGATGCCAAATTTACCTCCTTGGGCCTTGATCCACCTCCAGACTTTTTGTTGTGTCAGAAAATAACCCCTCAATTATTTAAGCCACTTTTAGAGGGTGTTTTTGCTTTCAGACAAATCTTTCCTACAGAAACCTGTATTATTGTCTCCAAATATTTGGGGCACTTCCTTGCAGGAAGATTGTACATGCTCTCCCTTTTAAGCCCAGGCTTGGCCATGTGACTTGTTCTGACCAATAAAACATGAGCAGTGTGATGGGATATTTCCAGGTAAAAGTTTCAAAAGTCAATATGTGGTTTGACATGCTTCCTTTCCCCTGGCCCTGTGATCAGGGAAGCATGCTGAGGTGGAGCCTCCTTCAGCCTTGTTTCTCAATGACTATAATAAGCAGGGCCTTCTTGTCCCTCCCACAACGGACATGTGGAATAGACAAGAAATAAACTTGATCATTGTTGCTGCTTAAATGTGTTGTTCTTGTTATCACAGATAAATGCAGTCTATATTGACTAGTAGACATCCCGAAAGCTGTAGTACTAAAAACAATGAAGTGAAGGCAAGAGCTTGAGATGCAGGGCCTTAACCCTGAGTTGCCAGGAAACTGATTGGGAGCAGTATATGTCAATGACTAAACAGATATTGGAAAGGACAGACTCATCTCTACCCACCCCATACACTTCCTGGTTAGTGAAATGAGCCTTGGAACAGTAAGTAATTTAATCCAAATAATGCTTTGAAAATGTCTTCACTTCAATGCATTATTCAGAGTAAATTAATCACAACTTATTAAGTGTCTCTTTCGTATCTCTGACAGTCACCTCATCACTGTGCCCCACCAACTTTTTTTTTTTGTAATGACCTTTCTATGCATTACCTTAACAACCTACTCAACAGACACCTACCTAGGGGCTTTTGGTAATGGCTCGTGATCACGTAGCTGAAATTCTGTTGCACGAATATAAAATGAGGGTGATGCGTCAGTGGTTGGGACAGGGGAGTGATGATGATGAGATATGATAGCTAATATTTTATATAAATATTAGCTTGTTGTATACCAGGTTTTATTCTAAACACGTTGTATATAGTAATTCCCTTAGTCCTCACCTATAACGAGGCTGGCATTATGATTATCTCTCTTTTATGGATGAGGAAACAGAGGTGCAGAGATATTAAATACCTTGCCCAAGGTAATGCAACTAAAATGTAGTGACACTCGGATTCCATTCCAGGCAATTTGGCTCCAGAGTTGTGTTTTAACTCTGATGATTAACTAAGCAGGGAGAGAGTTGTTCCTGGGGCAGCAGTTCTTGGAGAAGCAGTTCTCAGAGGGGCCAGAAGTTAACAGTCACATTGAGCTCCACCTGACTTAAATGCTACCTGGGTGTTGTCTCACAATTTGCAAAACATGTCTATGAACTGTTTTCCTCAGCCATAGGCTCTGTTCTCTGAGAGTGGTGAAGAGTTAAGTAAATGAATCATGTAAAAGTCCTACTATTGAGCTGGGCCCTGATAACCATCGACTGCATGTCACTGGGGCTGCTGGAGGTTTATAGAGTAGACCCTCAGAGGTGCAGAAGTCTTGGGCATGCAAAGAGTCATGCACAAGTTTGAAAATAATTTCTCTAGGAGCCTGTAGGAGGGTATGAACCGTAAGGCCTGGGAACAGTTAGCTAGAGAGTTACTTCTGGGCTTTGCAGACACAGCAGTGACTGAGATGCACTTGGTGCCCTGGAATGGATGACTGGGTAAGCCATTTGGACCAATCATGATTTAAGAAGAGTAAGCCAGGCGCGATGGCTCACGGCTGTAGTTCCAGCCCTTTGGGAGGCCAAGGCAGTTGGATCACAAGGTCAGGAGTTCAAAACCAGCCTGGCCAACATGACGAAACCCCTTCTGTACTGAAAATACAAAAAATTGTCTGGGTGCCGTGGCTCATGCCTATAATCCCAGCACTTTGGGAGGCCGAGGCAAGCAGATCATGAGGTCAGGAGATTGAGACCATCCTGGCTAACATGGTGAAACCCCGTCTCTACTAAAAATACAAAAAAAAAGATTAGCCAGGCATGGTGGTGGGCACCTGTAGTCCCAGCTACTCAGGAGGCTGAGGCAGGAGAATGGCGTGAACCTGGAAGGCAGAGCTTGCAGTGAGCTGAGATCATGCCACTGCACTCCAGTCTGGGCAACAGAGCGAGATTCCGTCTCAAAAAAAAAAAAAAAAAAAAAAAAAAAAAAATTAGCTGGCTGTCGTGTTGTACTCCTATAATCCCAGCTACTCAGGATGCTGAGGCAGGAGACTCGCTTGAACCCGGGAGGTTGCAGTGAGTCAAGATTGCGCCATTGCACTGTAGCCTGGGTGACAGGATGAGCCTCCATATCAAAAAAAAAAAAAAAAAAAAAAAGCAAAAATTAGGTGGGCATGGTGAAATGCACCTGTAGTCCCAGCTACTCGGGAGTCTGAGGCAGGAGAATCGCTTGAATCCAGGAGATGGAGGTTGCAATGAGCCGAGATCGTGCCACTGCACTCCAGCCTGGGCGACAGAGTAAGACTCCGTGTCAAAAAAAAAAAAAAAAAAAAAAGGGTGAGGGGAATTTTTCTGAGGCACAAGATGGGTATGTGGATGTACATATGAGTAGGGAAGTAAGGGCAAGGGGCTTGGATCTAAAGTTGTTTTGCAAAAGATTTGAAAATGTAGCTCAAGAGGGATAATATTTAGGCAAAATGAAACGATCTACCAGCAAGTCATATAGGTTGTATCTCTAAAATATATTTTATATCTGAACACTTTTCACTATCTCCACGGTGAGCACTGCCAGCACCTTACCTAAGTGACTACCTTACAGTCACCATAGTGTCTCCTTAGACTCCTGTGTTAGTCTCCTAACTGGTCTCCCTGCTTCCATTCTTGTCCCTTCCTTTACGGCAAAAAGTCAAACTGTTTTTTCTCTACTCAAACTCAACACAGAACACTTCTGGTCACAATGATGTGTGAATTTTTCCCCACCAACAACCAATTCTCCAATAGCAGCTGAGTGTCCTACAATTCAGTTCAATTCTGCTGCTAACTGGAGTTAGCGCAGATCTCCAAGTTCATGGCACAAATCCACAGGACTGCCCCCACTTCAGATGCCAATTGCAAGTCATAGGTTGCCACGTTCCCCACAACTTCTGCCCAGCTTGGCTGCAAATCAGAGGTCCCTATGACCCCCTTCTTGGGTTCAATAATTTGTAAGAGCAGCTCATAGAACCCAGGAAAACAGCTTACTTACTATTGCCTATTTATTACAAAGGATATTTTAAAGGATAAAATGAGCAACCAGACGAAGACTTACATGGGCAAAGTTCAGAAGCGTCCTGGGTGCAGGAGCTTCTGTCCCTGTGGAGCTGGGGTGCGTTACCTTCTCAGCAAGCGGATGGGTTCACCCACCTGGAAACTTGCCCAACCTCCTAGTTCAAGGATTTTTATGGAGGATTCATCACGAAGGCATGATAGATTATTAAGTCAATCTCCATCCCTTCTCCCTTTCCTAGAGTCTGAAGGGTAGGGCTGAAAGTTGCAAGCATCTAATCATGGCTTAGACCTTCCAGTGACCAGCCCTCATGCAGAGGCCAGCAAGAGTCACTTCATTAGAACAAAAGACTGTCCTGTTACCCAGGAAATTCCAAGGGATCCAAGGGATTAGGAACGCTGTGTCAGGAAATTACAAGGGTTTTAGAAGCTCTGTACCAGGAACTGAAAGCAGAAAGTGTGTGTGTGTGCATGTGTGTGTACATATATTATTATTTATTTATTTTTTTTGTAGAGCTGAGGTCTTGCTCTGTGACTCAGGCTGGACTTCTGGGCTCAAGTGATCCTCCCTCTCAGCCTCATGAGTAGCTGGGACTACGGGCATGTGCCACCATGCCTGGATCAAATATATGTATTTTTATTATGTACACTGCCTCTTCCATTTGCCTCATGGTAGACAGAGTGATCTTTTAAAAATGCACTCAGTTCTTGTGGCTTCTTCTCCTTAAAATAAAACCCTAATTCTTTGCTACATAATCTGGCCCTGCCTCACTCCTTGATCTCATCTCTCACTAGCCCCACTCCTGCCTTTTCCCTACACTGTAGTCCCAAGCTCCTTCCTGCTTTAGGGTCTCTGTGTTCTCTGGTCCTTCTTTTGCCTGGAATACTCTGTCCGCGCATCCCCCCACTACCACTCTCAGCTCTTTGCAAGGCTAGCTTCTTCCCCCACTCTGGTCTTGATCCAGATACCAGCTTTTCCAATTTCCTGACCACCTTGTTCCCTTTCTCCCCACAACTCTCTCTCGGCCTCTATCCATCCCACTGGCAGATTTTGTTTTCTTCATAGCACTCATCACTATCTGAAATTGTCTTTGTTCATTTGCTTGTTTATGAGTTTGCTTACAGTCTTCTCTATTTGACTAAATAGCCTTTGTTTGCCTGATTCGTGGCTATACCCATCACCTAGAAAAGTTCCCAAATGCATAGATGCTTCATAAATTAAGAATAAGTAATTTAGGCCGGGTGTAGTGGTTCACACCTGTAATGCCAGCACTTTGGGAGGCCAAGGTGGGTGGATTACCTGAGGTCAGGAGTTCGAGACCAGCCTG